AGATATAGACTTGGGCAGAAAGGCTAGTTTTCATTTAAAAAATTATATTTTTGGAGCAAAAGAATATAAGATTGTAAGTATGATCTAGTTGGGCGTCAGCCGATTTCACCAGCGACTGGACCATTCCGATGATATGTATGGGCAGTAGCTCCGGCGATCAGTGCCATCTACTTCGTTCGCTCCTAGCCTAGCCCATCAGTTCCTGGTGAGAGAGCATTGTGTTCTTATTTGTTTGACTCGACCCGACGAATATCTGCAAACTTGCTTCTTCCTTTCCCGGCGATGTTGGGTCAGTAACGCTGACCCACATCGCTGCGGAACACAACAAGATCAGATCAGGTTGGCCAGATAAAAATATCGAGGCCAGCCGCAGAACGCTGCAAAGCCATGATGCCTAGTGAAAACACCATGCTTGGTCAATGGCACCATTCTAGCACGTCCGAACAAGCAAAACAGTATTTGTAAAGCGTTTTCCCCCCTTTGATTAACATTCCAAAAGCAGCCTGCTCGTGCCACGCTTCCGCCTTTTGCTTTTACCATTCTAACTTATCGCATTATGGAGAACAAAGCCTGCTCACGTTGTGAATTTGCTTGACTAAACTTAAGAGATCAAGTCTGATGGAAATCAAATGATCTATGGCCGTTGAGTGAACATGTCACAAACTGACAATCAAACACCCCCTCACATTGTATGCATATGTAGTGTTGATGACGATACATTTTTTAACTTCACAAATGTTGGGAATGAAGATTTTGTATCTCAAGAATTTCCCTCCCAAGAGGATGAGGAAACGCAATATGATGACAACAATCTTGACTTGGACGATGAGGGCTTTCTTGACGCCCCACAGGGAAGAACCACAAACAACAATAACACCAGAGACGTGTTGATATGTATAGCTTGGAAGAAAATCTCTCTCGATGTCGGCGTCGGAACCGATCAACCGATGAGCGCACATTATAAGCGCATCAAAGAATGGTTTGATCAACACAACAGAAGTGGTCATGAACGATCGGCCCCTCCTATCCGCCAATGTTGGGGCACAATATCCACCCAATGTAAAAAATGGGCGCCTTGCTTGACCAATATCGAGCACATGAACCCAAGTGGTTGCAGTGATAGTGATAATGTGATTGTTTGCTACATTCGAGTGCTTTCTCTTTTAAGTATGAAGACGTGTTACTAACTATGGTTCTAAATTGTTTTGTAGCTCATTCTTGCTCAAGGTTTGTTCCGACAAAGAGGAAAGGAATGGGCAAGGGGAAGAAAAATGGAATACCATTCGCTTTCTTAATTGCTACAAGGAGACTAAAGACGAGGGAAAGTGGAAAAACCAGAACTTGTTTGAAGTTCCCTAGGAGGAAGAGTTCTGTTGTGATGCATGAAGCGGTGATGGGGAGAGGAAAAGGAGCCCTACTCTCAACTTTGTTGCCAAATCGGAAAGGACCGATGGTAACATGGGATGATTCATGGGTGGTTTGATGAGCATGATGGGAGGTGGCTTTGGTAACATGATGGGTAGCATGTGAGGTGGCTATGGTGATGCAATGGGTGCTATGGAAGGTGGCTTTGGTGGCGGCATGATGGGTGTATTTGGTGGTATAATGGGTACCTTTTTTGCGGGGTACCATCAGAGATGACTTTGGTAACACCATGCATGCCATGCGAACCAACTACGGTGGAGATCAAGGTAGCAGCATCGATGATGAACCATGCGACAATGAAGAGAAAGAAGTCGATGATCACCATGAGGTCAATTTCCACAACAAGACCAATGTTGACATTGCGGCAAGCGACAACGGGGAAGAGGAAAGTTGAGAGGCTATGATACTTTTATGTTTATGTGCACTTTTATTTGCTTTGATGATGAACTATGTTTGATATGATGCACTATGAGGCTATGATTTACATTTCAAAATAATAGGTGGATTCAATGGTTAATTTGATATGGTGTTAATTATGTGTGACAATTTTGAAAAATATTTAAATTACTCATAGTGATGCAGCTGCCATTTTTCTTTTTCTTTTAGGGCATCTATTTGAGTTGGTGGTCTTAAATATTGTACTTTCTCCATAAACAAATGTGCCCTGGTCTTGGTGAGTAAAAATGATAGTTTTGGGTGTTACGAATTTTGCTCCACCAAGTGCCTTGCTCTAAGTAGGAAGGAAAGGTCAGCTTACCACGTGGTATATGTTCAAAAAAGAAACTTAATATATCTATACCTAAATAATAAAAGGGTTATTGCTTCCGACGGTTTGTCATGGAAATTACCCAAAAGTTGCAAAATATTACCCAACAATATCATCTATAAGTGATAAAAAACGCTTTACACAGGGGAATCCCGGGGAAATATCTGATACTCCCACTCTTAGGGTACTCCCGGTGCTCCAAAACTCGGTAGCACATTTTAAAATGTTTAAAAATTCTAAAAAATATGCAGCACATTGGCACAATATCAATGTATGTTGTAAAAAAATATGAAATCAAAATTCAAAACATTGCTTGAGATACAAAAATGACAAATTCGACAGTAAATAGGACACAACATAAGTTGGGCTTGAGGTTAGGCCCATTATCACATTGATGTACATTTTGTCATTTTTGTATCTTGAGCAATGGTTTGAATTTTGATTTGAATTTTTTTAACAACATACATTGATGTTGTGCCAATGTGCTGTATTTTTTCAGAATTGTTCGAACATTTTAAAATGTGCTACCGAGTTTTGGAGCACCGGGAGTACCCTAAGAGTGGGAGTACCAGATAGTTTCCCGGGGAATCCCCCACCTGGGCCGGCCCATGCAGTAGGTACCTCCAATTCCGCGCTCTGCGCGCTGAGAGAAGACGCGGCGTGCCCGTTTGGGCCAGCCCATGTTCGGACGGCCTGTTTTTTTATTTTTTTTCCTTTTTCTTTTCCATTTTCCTTTTTTCTACTTTAAATAATTTCAGACTTGAAAAAAGTTCCAACAATTTAAAATGGAAATTTTAAAATAAAATGTTTAATAAATCATAAAAATTTGTGGATTCAAAAAACTTCCCGATTTTGTAAAAATGTTTCCTTATTCAAAAAATATTCAAAATTTTGAAAACAAATGTTCAGAAAATCAAAAAATGTTCATGATTTAAAAAAAATCATGTATTAGAAAATGTTAATGAAATTGAAAAAAATTGCCAGTTCAAAAAATGTTCATGAATAAAAAATACCCTAAAAACTAAAAAACTTTTCATGACTTACAAAATAGCTTATTCATTCATAAAATGGTCGCTGATTCAAACAATGATCATGCATTTTAAACAATGTTCGTGAATTTCAACAATTGTTCCACCAATTTCGAAAAAAATGTGTGTCGATTATAGAAATGTTCACCGATTCAAGAAAATTGTTTAATATCTTTTTGGAAATAGTATAAAATGTTCTTGATTTTAGAAAATGTTAGCAAAATTGTAAAAGTGTTCGTGAATTTAAAAAATATTCATGATTTCAAATATGTTCACGAGTTTAAAAAATATTCATAATTTCACGAAATTGAGAGTGATAGTAAATCTTGGTGATGCAAAATATCGTCATGGCCTTCAAAATTATTAAAAAAATCCGTTACATCACACCCTTTTGCTAGTAACTAGTCAATCTGTACGTGCAATGCACGTTAATTGGAAAGAATATTAAGTACATGCGGATATTAAGCAGGATATTATTTGTGTTAGCATTATATTTTTTATGAAATTAATTGCACGCTAAACGTGTTGAGTGCTTAACATTGAAGCAGTCTAGATCGTTGGATTGAGATGATTTGATGGGCGAGATTAATCGGATATATTTTTTTGGGTCTTTTTATATTAGTATAGATATAGATAAAAAAGTAACGGAACATCAGCTCAATTGCAAAAATACGTTGGGCTCTTTCCACGTCACATCGCCGCCGGCCGCCAAGATCGAGGCGGCGCCGCTGCGCCGTGCGCCTGGGGTGAGGGGCGGGGAGGCGACGGGGCCGAGGGCCACCGTGCGCGCTGGGAGCAGCCTCCGCCTCGGCCCGATTCGACGCCGGCGCTGGCTCCGCGGCTCGGCATCGTGCTCTTATCGCTGCGCCGTATCGCGGCGGATGGCGCCTCAGCCGGAGTGCGCCGCTCCGCGCGCGCCTGAGGGAGTCGTGGTATGGCGTAGCCACTCGTCGGAAGGAGCCCAGCCGAACGCTGGAGGGCCCTCGCCGGGGCTGTTCCAGTGCTTCAACTGAAGGAATTTTATTCGAAGAACAACATGGTACCTTCTCCCTTCTTTTCTATGGATGTTTTGTTGATGGTGGTGCCTGAGGTATAAAAATGAGATTGGACATGCAACGGTGATTTCTAACAATGCTAAAACCTGGTGCAACGTGTTCTTAATCTTGTTCTTGCTTAATATTTTCTTCCCGGTTGTGCTTGCTTAATGAATGTGCGATGCATCTCTCTATCCAACTGCTCACAGTGGAGAGTAACATAGAGTAGTAACTTGTCGATGTTACTAGTCTATATAACTACCTCCATAGTGGGTAGTAACATATAAGTGATATCATGAAAGAGTTCATTTATTAGGCTATAGACTCATTATGCCTTGAAATGTGTGATGTTACGGTAACTAGCTAAGTTACCACAAACCCCTCTCTTCTCATTAATTAGCTGCCACATAAGCAATCTTGTATTGAAATGTGTGATGTTACTACTTAAGTTACTCACATTGTGACTAGTCTCCTACAGAAGTCTACAACACAAATCTGATTAGTTTTACAAGTTCGGTACCACAATGCGAATAACGGTCATACAAAGGCTATTTGACAAACACAGCAAAAGGCAAGCACAATTAATCCACGGAAAATCAAGCAGATTGTAAACTGGGAAGATATAAAATCAAGCAGCTATCTTGATTCTTGACACGTGCGGAGACACATGGAGAAAACAATTCTCTGAAAAATAGACACCGAAAGAAAACAGCACACTTGTACTACTACTTATCCACCCCTTCCTATTTAAACTTGCACATTAGCATCCATCATCTGCCGTGCAACACCCACGATGGTTGAAAGGGTTTGGTAATTAGCCATGTCCCCTGCACTGCCGGTAAGGAGCATACCTAGTTCCAGGTCTCTCATATCCTCCAAGGCACCTTGCAATTTTGTGCTAGTGTTCTTGTTCTGGAATACTCTGATGCAGTCTGGCTTGCGTTGCATCATCCATGTACATAACTTTGTCACTGTCTTGATTATTATCAGATACTCAAGTGAGGGACCCTTCCCTTCCAAGCTATCAAAAGAGTGGCCCTTGCACTGTTCTATTATATGATTCAGTTTATCCATAAAGTCATCCATGGAAAGAGGAACGAGCGCAAGTGCATTATCAAAATCATCTGGACTGATCTCCAGTTTGTCACATATCTCCAATGTAAGGCCTAAGAAGGCTGCCAGGGATTTTCTTTTAGCACCTTCGAGCTGAGCAACAGCCGGCAAATTGTCACTAGGATTGTTTCTGTTAGCAGCGTGAGAGTGGTGAGCCCCGAGAAAACTGTTCAAGCGATAAAGTGCCCGAGAAAATGGGGGGCGGCCCCGGTTGTGCTGTGGAGAACCCGTCTGATTTGCATTTGCTGCTTGTTGCTGCCCAAGGTTGTGCTGTGGAGAACCCACCTGATTTGCGTTCGCTGCTTGTTGCTGGCCTGGGTTATGTTGGGGAGAACCCGCCTGATTTGCGTTTGCTGCTTGTTGCTGGCCTGAGTTGTGCTGTGGAGAACCCACCTGATTTGCATTATTTGCTGCTTGTTGCTGGCCCGGGTTATGCTGGGGAGAACCCACCTGATTTGCATTTGCATTTGCTGCTTGTTGCTGGACCAGGTTATGCTGGGGAGAACCCGCCTGATTTGTGTATGCTGCTTGTTGCTGGCCTAAGTTGTGCTGTGGAGAACCCACCTGATTTGCATTTTCTCCTTGCATATAACTTTGAGCACCTGCCATGCCAAAAAACAATTTAGTAAAGAACAAAACCTCTTATTCGAAGAACAAGGGTGCATGTGCGATATTTCGACAGCAATGTTACATCAAGTAAAAAGAAAAATGGTGGTGCATATTCTACTCATGATGTGTACTACTCCCTCCGTTCGGTATTACTTGTCGCAGAAATGAATACGTCTAGATACATCCATTTCCGAGACAAGTAATTCCGAACGGAGGGAGTAATTAAAAACCAAGGTATGATAATATTCATTACTCATTTCTTTTTTCGATAAACAAAATTGTTAAGGCTCATGCCTTTTTATTGGAATTTCTGCTATGGAGTACGCATGGTCCCAACGAACTTTTGTGTTCCGTTTGGCATGCATCAGTCCAAAACACGAGTGGAAAACAAAATCTTTTTTTCCGAACTTTTGGGTTCCATTTGGTTCTGCTCTATGCTAGCCCCCATTTGAATTTCTCTAGATGTTTGGAAATTCGATTGTAGCAAACAGGTTCATGGTGGCACACTACAATGAAGATTAGGACTACGAATTGTTGTGTCAGATCAAACTTAGATACTACATCAACCTAGGTCGAGTAAAAGTCTACTGAACTGTTAGATATAAGTTCACAAATTTATGTTATGTTTCATCACGCATATTAATTATATCCTCTATCTGAAAAATGTGATGCTGATGACAAAGATGAGATATAATAAATAAGTGACTTCACCATTCCGAACTGCTCTTTCGTATCTGTGAAGCATAGAGTACTAATTGATTATTGGAAAAATAATATGGAAATCTATATGTATTCTTACCTCATGTAGATTTGTTTTGACTGATGCGAGATGCTCCTCCCTTTCTGCAGGATTAGAATTTGCACAAAGTTGCATCAGCAGTTGTGCTATGGGAGTTTGATATAATCTATGGTTTACCGCAGGAATCATATCTGTGAGAAGCTGAACTGAAGTATTTGTCTCTGTGCTGAAATTCATGATCGTCATACAATTGGCATTGTCCATTGCCAGTACTGCTAATGCTTCACCTGCGGTCTTCTTGAGTCCTTCACTCTCATTAGCAGCATCAAAGAAGATGTCCATCAAGTCGTTAATGAAATCAGCTACGCCATCAAGTCCAAGGGTAGCTCGAGTGGACGTATCCAAAGATAGCTCCGTAAGGATCTTTGTTGCTGGAACCTTTAGCTTGTCGTACATGTGGTCCTTTTCCAAGATTGAGCAAATATTGTGCGCTACTATCCCGTTGCTACAAATATCTTGGCGTATCTTTTCATTGGTTTCATCTGTGCCACTGACAAGCATGCTCACCACTTCCAGTGCCTTCTCAGTTATTTCCATGGTGATACCATCATCTCTGAGGATCTCATACACTTTATTTTTTACTGGGGATATGATTTTGGAGAAGAGACCCTTGTAATCATATATGTGCTTGCAGTTGTCCGGGTTAACTGCAAGCTTGGCAAGAATCAACAGGCCATGGATAATTAGAGGTTTGCTTTCAGCTCCACTGGTAGTCCTGGAGGATTGAAGAGTTCTTTGCTGTCTATTTCTGATGATTTCTGCTCTCTGCCGAGCTACCCTTTCCATTAATTGCTTAACAAAAATACAAGATCCATTGCTTTCTCCTCCATTGGCAGTGCTGGCTGACTGAATAGCCCCCTGCTGGTCAATTGTGATGTCAATAGCTGTCTGATGGTCAATGTTGACATTGGTAGCCGGTGTTGATATTTTCGTAAAGTAGGGATCAATCATGGAAGAAATGGACTCTGTTGCTCCTGATATGTCAGCCAGGCGCAGGTTGCTGGCAAGATGTGCCACAATTTGTGCGATGCATATTTTTGTCCTCTGATCAGTGCGGCTCTTTGAGGTAACCATGTCAAGCAGCCTAGAAACACAGAGCGGTGAGGATTGTATCTGGGATAGTGTTCTTGTTCTATGGTCCTCTTGGGATGTCAATCTATGCATCACCAAAACTGCATCAATGCGGTCCTGACTGTACTCAGATTTCATCATTTCTGCTGCGAAGGAAGCCAGGTTCCTGTTGATTGTACTTGACACCCCATTTTTTATGGCCATGCTCAAGGTTTTGTCCATATATTTGTCAATCAATTCTCTCTTATCCTCAAGTCCATACTTGAAGCTCACGTGGTTTGCAAGATAAGAGCGATACAACCTCAGAAACAACCACAAGATGAACAATCCACCTTGGAGAAGCACGAGAGCATAGAACAAGATAAGTGCACGAAACACATTGGAATTGTCATGGTGTCTCGACAGGATGGCAATGAGACGATAGATGGAAAGTGATATGCAGCCTAGCCCTGCGATCATCGGGACCGCAAGGACCAATATTGCTAAGAAGGCCACAATGGTTATGAAATCCCTCGCACTTCCAAGTGCCAGCATGAGATAGTAAACGAAATTTTGGCCAGTTGCTCGGCCAGTCAGCGGCCTCCCCCGCCCCCATTTCGTGTAGTGCTCGGCGCCCAATTCGAGGAATGCTGGTGGAACTTGGTTGAAGAATTCTGCCTCGGGGCTTACATTTATGCCCACGACCCTGTGGCTCAACAGAGACAAACTAATTACTCCTACTGTACTGGATCTGTTTTATATTACGGCTAGTCAAGAGTGATAAGCAGAGGACGGGGATTGAGGAGGTATACCTGGCTGTTTGTACTCCCTCCGGTCCTTTTTAGTTCGCATATAAGATTTGACTAAAGTCAAGCCTCGTAAAGTTTGACCAACTTTATAGAAAAAAGTACCAACATTCACAATCTGAAATCAATATCAATAGATGTGTCATGACTTAAAGTTTTATATTGTATAACTTTAACATGGCAGATGTTGATATTTTTTTATATAAATACGGTCAAACTTTGTGAAGTTTGACTTTAAAGAATTCTAATATGCAGAGTAAAAAGGACCAGAGGGAGTATGAAGACGATGGCGGTGATGACCCAGAAATCAGCCTTCTGTAGGGAAGTGGAGAAACCGCCGAGCAGGACGACGGTCGCCCAGACCAAGGCGAGGGCGCCGAGCCCCGTGGCAAGGATCTGCAGGAACATCTCGGTTACCATGCAGATGTTAAGTGGCAGCTCTGGTACCTGGTGCAAGGGCGTGTCTCCGCTCGTTGGCCGTTCAAGGTCGAGCCCTCGAGCACCTTGCAGCTGGAGTGCATCCTTCAAGACCACCACGACTCCACGCACAAGTTGCACCACCACCCTCGAAGCCGCCCTCCAAGCCGCCCCTACCACCACCTCCATTCTGCTTGCGGTCTGTTCAACCAAGCAGCTTGGTTCTCCTCTATCAAGTGTTCTAGTCTTCTAGCTCTAAATGCTGTCTGGGAATGCAAGCGCACACATATATCCTAGAATCAGACAACCACCAGGTATATATTAACGCGTACGAATTTCATATACCACCTCTTGTCTGCTTGACCAGATTCTAGGACTTGCTGCGTGTTACTATTCTATATACCCAACTTGGAAGTAAAAGTTAGTATGTGCAACGGCCACTATGCTATCTTAATCACGACCACGATGCACATCAACCGATCCGGATCATATTGTATGTAGCAGCTGGTAAAGCATGATTATCGTCTAATGCTTTAGGATCATCTTCCCAAGTCACCACATTAATATTTATCCTCTCGGACAAGATCTTGACAGGATCACCCGCCCCTGCTTCGTCTCTCCTATGCGATTTGGCGGCCACCCCCACCGGCCACCGTG